ATAGTTCTGGTAATTACTGTATAAAATATGAATATTAACAATTGTTTATCAATGATTAAAGTTAAACATATATTTAAACATACGAATTTGAAATATAATGAATATTTTTATATTTAATAGACTTTTAAGAGCGCTTCGCGCCCATCTTCTATTTCAACTTTAAATTGTGAGCATCTTCTCCTTTGTAAAAAACAATAACAAAAAGTCCTCAGATTTAATAATGTTTCTTTTTCGCGCATTTACAAAATTTACAGAAATCAAAAACTTTTGGACACAAATTTATGTAATTTGAGCATCCATAAATTTTGGGCACGATCAGTTCAGCTGTTGTTACGTTTATTGGATACAAAGGGACAAACAGACAGACAGACAAGCAATGTATGTATATATATAGATATAAATGTTGGCTAATTATATTATATATATATATTTATATATTTATTTGTGTATATTTTAGAATCTCTTAATTATAAATTGATTTAAAAGTACAGGTTTCTCATGTGTACAATGAAATCACTTTTGGATAGACATTTAATATTACGCAACAATTTCAAAATTGAGAATTTTTTAAAAATGAACATTAAAGAATTCGGATATAGTAAAAAAACTTTTTTAACATGTTCTTGTTTGCAGGGCCCCAGAGTATATATCAAGTCCTATAGGATCTAGTAATATAGAAAACAATAAACTTGATAAGCAGCTTCAGACCAGTAAAAAAACTACACCAAAGGTGAGCTAAGCATACATTGGAAACAATCTAATGAAGGGTATATATATATATATATTAATATTCCACGGGCAACGCCGGGCACTTTGGCTGGTTGTAAATAAACAAATGATGAACACCAATTTATCAAGCCAGGCCTGTCTTACCCTGCCTTGAAAAATTCTGATTCTCAACTAAGAACCTCAGTTCTTCACACATTGAATTTTTTTTCAGTTGAATTCACAAACCAATTATGAATGAATGAATGAATAAATGACGACAGGATGTTGTCAACTATTAAAATCTAAATTCCTTTTCAATCTGAAATAATATCGCCACGCTTGGATTTATTAGGAATCAAAACCATATCTTCACTATGTCTGATTTATTAACTTTGTTTCCATATTTTTAAGATTTTTCTAAAACTTCGTTTCCCAATTCAATGATTTTTTCGCAAAATATTTTTAACTTTCGAATTTTTAAGATTTTAGAACGATTTTTCAAGCATAAATGATCAATTGTCATTGTTCAACTTGTACTGTCTCAAGTTTTTATGATAAATATGAAGTAAAAAATGTTTTGAATGTAAAAAAGATATGCTAATTATCTAATTATATACTTTGTTTTTCTGTTCGTATAAAAATACGTCAAAACGGCTAAACCGATCGGGTCTAAATTTTTTGTATCGAAACTCACATGACCCCGGGGAAGGTTTATGGATTGTTACAGATGAAAAAAATTAGTCAGGAAAAATGTCGAGATTTACTAATTTTGAAAATGCGCAATTTTAAACAGAAAAATCTGCAAAATACAATTTACAAGAAAAATTGTAGTTTGTAAAGGGGCAAGAAGCGACCTGTAAGCCAATTGTATTATAAATTTACGTAAGATTTTTGTACTTTTTTAGAGGAGCTGAAATTACGTTAAAAGTTCTATTAACTTTGAATTCAAGAACATATTTTCTTGGGGGGGGGGGGGGGGGGGGGGTTGCGCCCGTTTTCAGACATAAGAGATGACAAAGCTTCCTAACATGAAATTCATTTAATTATTTGGGTTATCCATCTGAAGAAGAAATAAATTTGATAAGATAGAATTTAAAAACTCGAATTTAATTTCATCCTAAATTACCGGGCAATAAAACGTAAAAGCTTCGATCCATCAAGCTGAATAATAAAACAGGGGGGTTTACAAACAATATTTAAACACTGGGTGTCCGAAAATTTTTAAAAATTCTATTTTTTTAAAGAAATTGTGTTTTCATCTCGGTATAAAGATAGAGTGATGAACCAAAAAACAGTCGAGAGATTCCTTAGTAGTCTCACAACCAGAGATAGATAGATAGATAGATAGATAGATAGATAGATAGATAGATAGATAGATAGATAGATAGATAGATAGATAGATAGATAGATAGATAGATAGATAAAAAAAAATTTGCCCCCAATAAAAGTATTTGCCCCCATTTCTTTCAAATTTGTCAATCCCAAATGGGATTGAAAAAGGAATTATATTGCCCCCTGAGGTATGGGGGTAAAAAATGTTGATTGATAAAAATTATGTAGAACTTTTTCATCAACTTTTTAACATAATGGTTTGTAATGATATTGTAGTTACAATATTAGAAATTAAAACTTAATACTGTTTTACATTGACATCTTTAGTTAAATTAAATTAAAAATTATAATTATTCTTAATGGAAAAAATCCTTTTTTGAAATCGTTTTGTTGGTAAATTTTTACTTTGCAAAAAAATAAATTAAATGTAAAGATAAAATTGTAAGGTGTAAGTTGATACGTGGCTTGTTTATAAAAGGTTTATGCCCCCCCCCCCTCCCCCCTTGTACCCCTTGATATCGCTTGAGTATAATGTATACACAATAGTGTTAGGCCTGCTAGGATAGAGTTACTTCTACTACTCTTCAATCTATATTTTTGCAAATATTCATCAAAATTCTATTCTACTTTAATATCAACATTTTGAGTGAAAATTTGATTTTTTTCACAAAAATGTTTTAGGATAATTGTATACCTCGGACCGAATTTTATGAACTGGAACTGCAATTGCCTTCCGCCCGCTCAAATTTGAATCAACGGTTCAAATTCTTTTTATATCTATAATATTGAATAGGTGGTTCTTTGAACCGGCCGTAGCTTGCTCAGTGACGCAGCTCAAATTCATTAAATTCGGTCACTTCTAGTTTTTTAAAGTGAAGGGTTAAAATAATTTTCAATCTATTGAAGAGGTCACAAACTAAAATTTTCTAATTATTACCTATTTGTAACCTGATAGTGGAAACATTTACGCACTTGGAAAACACTCGAATTTAGGAATTTTTGCTAAATTTTTTTCAAATTTGAAAATTTACATTTTCACTAGGAACTTTTTGCAATTTCGTTTGAGACGTACTCAGCACATTAACCATTTCAATACTTTAACTATTGAGCCTTTTGCTCAGCTTTCTTTTGTATTTAAAAAGGAATTTCTCAAGTTTTTTTTAGATTTTTTCAAATTCAGAACCCCTTAGTAAAACTCAAAAAGGAAACTATGTAAAAAATATATTTAATGAATTATAAAGATTACAGATAATTTTCCATAAACAATGCTAAACTCGAACAAAGTCTGGTGAGTTAAATTTATAAACTATCACGAAACAAGTAAAATTATAATTTATTAAAATTAATCTTTTGTTCTCACTCCGTCACAAATGAGCAGCTGGCCAAATCAGGCAGAAAAAAAACCAGTTTTTAGGCTAAAATAATGCTTGATTTAAGGCAAAATTAAAGCTAGTATGTAAGGTAGAAAAATAAGTGACTTTTAAAGAGTAATAACCCCCTTATTTGGGCCACAATATCAAATAAAGCTTGCTTTAGACAGAAGTAAAGTTTGTTTTTTGAGCAAAAATAATGCTTGATTTAAGGCAGAATTAAAGCTTGTTTGTTGCGCGAAATATAATTTTTTTAAAACCCATTAAGCCTTTCAGGTCTTAATATCAAATAAAACTTGCTTTAGACAGGAATGGTGCTTGTTTTTAAAGCGAAAATAAAGCTAAATTTTAAAGAAAAAATATAGTTTTAAGCATAAATAATGCTCGGGTTTTAACAGGAAAAGATTATTTTTTTTATAAGAAGACAAAATACTTGGTTTATGGCAGAAAAAAAATTGACGACATTCTATTGATGGACTTGATGACATGCTATTAATGGACTTGATGACAAGTTATTGATGGACTTGATGACATGCTATTAATGGACTTGATGACAAGTTATTGATGTACTTGATGACATGCTATTAATGGACTTGATGACAAGTTATTGATGGACTTGATGACATGCTATTAATGGACTTGATGACAAGTTATTGATGGACTTGATGACATGCTATTGCAATGTTAATTACGATTTTGATTTTCTATGAGCACAAATGGTTAAAAAAATGCTTAGTTTTTTTCTGATTTTTAGACAGAATTGTTTAATTTATCTAAAATGATTCTAATCCTAATTAACTGTTTATTTATAAATGTGCATATCATCTATGCAATGAGAATAGAATATATATTAGAGGGGAATTTACTAGAAAAAAGTGTAAAACGGCCATTTTGTTGTACTGTTTCCATACTGCAGGTGTACTTCACATATTTATGCTATATAACCTTTTAGGCCCTGGATCATCATTCTATAGAATATCTAAAATTAATATTGAAAGAAAACCAAATTATGAAATAGGCTGATTTCATAATTGACCAATGATCATTTCACATAGACTCTATGCCTTTCAATTTACAAACGATGATTTTCCTTTATAACTATAAATCAAATGATGTTTTTATTCACCTAATTCATTTTATAAAGTTTATGTAACAGCTTTAAAATATTCGAAATTGAAATGGATAGTCCAGGGAACATACTGTATTAATGTACTCTACTGCATATAATTTGTAAACATTTACATGATTTGTACACTTTGAACTCCCTTTCAGGCTGAAAGGGACTGACAAAATTCATACCGAGGGATTGTCTAAATTCCACTCAAATAAATATTCTATTCTATTGTCTTTGATACATTGATAACCAGAAAACTTTGAAATAGAAAGACGGCCTTAAAACAATACTTTAGTGTATAAGTCATAAATTGATTCTAAAAGTCGTCTTACTCTGTCAAAGTTTTCTGATTATCACTGTATGTAGGACGGGTTATAAACCTAAAATTAGTTCACTAATTGTAAGGTTTCGAACTCGAAAAAAGCGCTTTTTCAGAACATTGAGAAGGAAAAATTTAGTTCATATTCAAAAATTTTTGTGAACGTTAATCTTTGAAATTATTTTCTTGAATTTGAACTTTAAGTGCCAAACCTGTTTCGAAAATAATCTTTATGATACACCTTTGAAAAAATAAAACAATTAAAAAACTAGTTTCAAAATAGGTTTTTTTATGAGGGGGGGGGGGGAGGGGTGCATATTGAGGATTGTTATTAATCCACTAATGAATTCTTTTTTAACAATGGCATTTTAATGTTAAATTGTTCTTTTTGGATTTTCACAGCCCTTTATATGCCCATCTATTGTGTGAAAATTTACGAATCATTTTAAAAAAAAAGCGTAGTAAAATGATGATAAAAATGTTAATAGAGAATCCCTTCCAGTATCGTAAACAATTCCTTTAATTCCAATTAGTTTGAAGTGTGTTAGATCTGTCAACTCAGTTGACAGTAGACTACATTATTTTTACCAGTTGATAATAAATTTGTTTTTAACGGTTGATAATAAATTAGACCAATTAATGAACTCAAACTAGGGTAGACTAATTAATTAATCTAGTTTTCAAATTGAATCACAGTTTTTAGGGAAATTTTCATGACATAACTTTTTCTCTTTTTATATATTTCTCTAGTTTGTCTGTCTGTTTGTTTCCAATAAACGTCAAAACGATTTAAAAAGTAAAAAAGTATAAACGCAGAGTTAATTTATTTGGGAAAATTTAGATCTGCTTAGCTTTACTAGATTAAACAAATTTGAAAATTTAATATTAATTTACACAAGGATAAATTTCAATCTATACCAATGTTTGATAATGTACTGTGAATAACACTATTTATTTGCACCCTGTAGATGTAGAAGTGACCCCTTGATATATGTAAATATATATATACTAGAAATTCAAGGCGCTTCGCGCCCATCTTCTAAATTAATTGTGAACATGTTCTCTTTGTGTACATCGTAAAACAAAACAAAAATAATTCGCGGATTTTCACAAAAAAATTTCGCGGATTTTCAAAATTTTTAAAAATTTAATGACGATCGAATTTTGATGGAGACAAATATTTGAAATTTTGATTTTTCATAAACCTTCCCTGGGGTCCCTAGATGTCCCACAAACAATTTGGGCCCGATCGGTTCAGCCGTTTTGACGTTTATTGGATACAAACAGACAGACAAACAAACAGACAGACAGACAAGCCAAATACTGTTGATATAGCAATATAGGATTTAAGTGGATAAGTACACATCATTATTATTTAAATCTTATCTACAAGGGTACATGGTGGAGGGGATGAAAGGGTGGAGTGAAATAAGAAATAAAATGAGGGGAGAGAGGAAAGCAAGGGAGGGATGAAAGGAGGTAATGGATGAAAGGAGTAAATGAAAAGAGGGGAGGGATGAAAGGAGGTGATGAATGAAAGGAGGTGATGAAAGAATGAAGGGAATGGATGAAAGGAGGTGAGAGATGAAAGCAAGGGATGGATGAAAGAAGGTAATTGATGAAAGGAGGGATGAAAGGAGGGGGATGGATGAAAGGAGGGGGATGAATGAAAGGAGGGTGATGGACGAAAGGAGGGAAGAAATGAAAGGATGGAGGAGAGTAAAGAAGGTGAGGGATGATAGAAGGCGAGGGATGAAAGAAGGGGATGTACTAAAGGAGGAGAGGGATGAAAGGAGTGGATAAGAAACAGCAGAAGGGGGGGGGGAAGGAGTAGAAAGGGGAATGGGGGGTAAATGTATTGGATTGGTTGACTAAATATTTGACAAGGACACGTATAGGCTAGATATGCAATGGGTCTCTAGATGGATAACACTAGAATATGTATTTACAGTATATACAATACATACCTTAGATATATATATATATATACAGTATACAATATACATGCCTTAAATTATATACCAATATTAGTATACAGGGTTTACAACAAACAAGTTTTCAACTGAACCCTTTATCCTCAACTGTATTCCTCGAGTAATCTCCTTGAAAGCTTATTAAAATGAACCGGTAGATATATTTAGGTCAAATTACAAGAAAAGTACTTTGTAAGATTTGATGGGATTATCTAGGATTTACTTACCAAGCGGATACATTTCATACTTAATCATATTAAATACTTGAAACCTTGAAACTGCCCATTTTATTATATTTTATGTTTTGCATTGTTATTTGCACAAATATTAAAAGCAGTCTCCGGCTCATGGTTTTCATATATCTGTATCTATTTAACCTGTACAACTTACATCTTTATCCATGTATCACTTATCTCTTTATCTCTGTATCATTGTTTTCTTGTAATCCTGGATCCTTGTTATATTCACGTATCCCTGTATCATTGTGTTCCTTTACTCCTGTATCCCTGTATCCCTGTATCCTTGTATCACTGTATCCCCTTATGATCTTTATCTCTGTATCACTTTATCCCTGTATACCCTTATTTCTGTAACTCTGTATTTCTGTATCCCTGTATCCCTGTATTCCTAAATCCGTGTATCCCTGTATCCCCTTATCTCTGTTTTCCTGTTTCATTGTATCCCTGGATCCCTGGATCTCTGTATCACTGTATCCCTGTATTTCTTTATCCCTGGATCACTGTATCCCTGTATCCCAGGATCCCTGGATCTCTGTGTCACTGTATCCCTGTATCCTCTTAACTCTGTATCACTGTATGCCTGTATCCTCTTATCTCTGTATCACTGTATGCCTGTATCCCCTTATCTCTGTATCTCTGTATCTCTGTATCACTGTATCCCTGTATCCCCTTATCTCTGTATCACTGTATCCCTGGATCCCCTTATCTCTGTATCACTGTATCCCTGTATCCCCTTATCTCTGTATCACTGTATCTCTGTATCCCCTTACCTCTGTATCACTGTTTCAATATCACTGTATCCCCTTATCTCTGTATCCCCTTATCTCTGTATCAATGTATCAATATCACTGTATCCCCTTATCTCTGTATCACTTTATTCCTGTATCCCCTTATCTCTGTATCCCTGTATCCCCTTATCTCTGTATCACTGTATCCCTGTATCCCTGTATCCCCTTATCTCTGTATCACTGCATCCCTGTATCCCCTTATCTCTGTATCACTGTATCCCTGTATCCCTGGATTGTTATTAATCCACTAATGAATTCTTTTTTAACAATGGCATTTTAATGTTAAATTGTTCTTTTTGGATTTTCACAGCCCTTTATATGCCCATCTATTGTGTGAAAATTTACGAATCATTTTAAAAAAAAAGCGTAGTAAAATGATGATAAAAATGTTAATAGAGAATCCCTTCCAGTATCGTAAACAATTCCTTTAATTCCAATTAGTTTGAAGTGTGTTAGATCTGTCAACTCAGTTGACAGTAGACTACATTATTTTTACCAGTTGATAATAAATTTGTTTTTAACGGTTGATAATAAATTAGACCAATTAATGAACTCANTTTCCTTTTTTATCTATTCTATTATATCTTATACTTTCCCCCCTTACTTTACTTTTATTTTCTTCTTTTATCTATTCTATTATATTTTATACTTTTTTATCGTTATTTTGATGATTCCATTAAAATTCTATTCTTTTTAATTCGAATTTTTATTCATCTTAACTTTTTCATAGTTTTTAAACCAAATGAGAATTGATTCCTCTATTTTGGTTTCAATTTAAACTTTTTCTTAAATTTCATTTGATTTGATTTGAATTCATGCAATTGCACAAGGTGAGAACGTTATTATATTTGGTCTCTTTTCAATCCTAATTTCTAAATTTAGGAGATAGGTTCTATTTTTCTGTTAATCTAATCTTAAAATATATTTTTTTCCAACTAACTTTAAATCCTTATCTAAACCATTTAGTTTTATTACCGTTTTCAATATTCTTAATTGAAATCCTTCGTTCGTTCATTCATTCATTCATTCTCCTAATTTTTCTATTCTTGTTTATTTCAACTCCATTTTTATGTGCGCTTGATATTGTAAGCGTAATTTCAAGTGACCCTCCATGCAAAGATGGAACGTTCGATTAACAACGGTATCCTTGAAATCTTTATTTTCAGTAATTATTCAATAAAAAAGTTCTTTTAACAATTCACAATAGTGCTAATACACCAAAGGACTGATTGCTTCAAACTCTAATTTTTTATCAATTTTTTTTTCTTTATCAGAGGTTTACACCAGCAGGTTGCAAAGATATAGAATTATAAAATTAGATTTTGAGGCAACTACAAAACTAAAAAAAAGTGCTGAACGTGGGTTTAAAACCCAATGTGTTAATGTATACAAAAAAAAGTGCTGAACGTGGTTTTAAAACCCAATGTGTTAATGTATACAAAATGTATCAATCCAATGTAATTTGATACAGGAAACAATCCAAGTGTAAATATGCAATTATCAAACTATTAATTTTATTCGAACAAAACCTTCTCATGACTTAACATAATAATCATGATAATCTTTCCCTATTTACACATACTTAATAGCAAATGTGTTGGGAAATTTTTCTCAAATGTAGGAATTTATTTTGGGAAATTCTTACAAATATAGATTTTTTTAGCAAATTTTTACTTATGTAAGATTTTTTGGGAGAAATTTTTACTAACGTACAGAATTAGTATTTTGGGAGAATTTTACTTAATATAGCATTCTTTTGAAATTTTTGCTAATGTAGATTTTTTGGAAATTTTTACTTATGTAGGGTTTTTTTATTCTTACTAACATAGATTTTTTGAAAATTTTAGTAATGTAGACTTTTTTATTCTTACTAACATTGATTTTTTGAAAATTTTAGTAATGTAGGGTTTTTTATTCTTACTAACATAGATTTTTTGAAAATTTTAGTAATGTAGAGTTTTTTTATTCGTACTAACATAGATTTTTTGAAAATTTTAGTAATGTAGGGTTTTTGGGGGTAAATTTTCTATTAACGTAAAAATTTTTTTGGACATTTTTACTAATATAGGATTTTTTAGAAACTGAAGGGAGTAATGAAGAATAAAGGTGGGGGCGGAGGAGGTGGAGGAGGAGCAATTCCTAATCCAGTAGCGATGGGACGAGCATTAATCGCGCGGAATTTTACTCCGCAAAAGAGTAATAGCTTCGGAAACAGGTATTTATTTTAATTTTGAAAATTTTTGAAATTTTAAAATTTTGTTTTATATTCTAAAATTTCAAATAATTTTAAATTAAGTTTTTGTGTTTTACACAAAAACTTTATTTGAACTTTATTTACCGTGAAGCGTATTCCAGGGTCAAGTAATTTAATCAATATTTTATCCAAATTTTTAGATTTATTTGGTTTGAATTGATTTTATGATAAATTGAAAATGAAAATACTAATTTTGAAGGTTGCCTAACCACAAAATGTAGGAAGCAGAATTTTTTATGTTTGTTGAAATAAATTATTTGGAAGTTTAGCCAAGTTAATTGTGAAATAGCCAAGAGACTTTTACTAATTCAGTAATGATCAGAACGCATGCCAAATAAAAATTAGCTCATTAGTAATTCGTTATATCCCAACCCCATAATAATGGGTTATATCCCAACCCCTTCCCCTAGAAGTAACATAGTTATGCCTCTTTAACAACAAACAAGGAAAAGTGAAGAGATAACTAACCGACTTTTTGTTTAGATCGAGCGAAGGAATTTCCGATATTTTCGGCGGGAAAGAAAACGGAATAATTCCGTCGAAACATCGGGTCTTCATCATGGACACTCAAGTCAAATATACAATCGTAAGTATTTACGTTTTAGACTTTTTTTATCTTGCAAAATTTCCCTTGCCCAGAGAGATTGCAATTTTTCCTGCCTGTCAATTAGGGTATTTGAATTGAAGGCTATTGTTTTCTGCATACTTTATCTAATCAAATACTTTTTACAAATTACAAATGCAAGTGGAACTACAGCCTTGAATACAATTTAGGAGTATATACAATACACTCAGAGAGGAATAGCATAAGGGGGGGGGGAGTCTTCAATCCCCCCAAACATTTATTACTTTTATGCTTTCTAAGTTAAGCTATATATTCTGCTTTTGTTGCCTGAAACATGGGACCGGGTGTCACAATATTAATGACTTGATACTTCAACTTCCTGTTGAGTTGGTTATATGACGTTAATTCGTGCATTTCTGCTCCTGCAATACGTGATGACAACATTTTTGGCGTCGCATATTTTTTGCATCTTGAAGCACTGGGGTAAAAGCTAGAATAGCAGAGTAACAGTTGTAAATTAGGTTTAAAAGGAAACTAATTACGTGGTTTAGGTTTAACTGCAGTTCTAGGAAGATACAGAAAAGAGGATATTTCTTTAATTCACTTGGTCTGGTTTGGTTGTTGGGTTTTCATTGGTTATTTAGTTTGGTTTGTTTGCTGGCTGTTTGGCTGGTTTGTTTGTTGACTGGTTTGTTTGATTTGTGGCTGGTTTGTTTGATGGTTGGATGGTTTGTTTGATGGTTGGCTGGTTTGTTTGATGGTTGGCTGGTTTGTTTGTTAGCTGGTGTGTTTGATGGTTGGCTGGTCTGTTTGATTCGTGTCTGGTTTGTTTGATGGTTGGCTGGTTTTTTTGATGGTTGGCTGGTTTGTTTGTTAGCTGGTGTGTTTGATGGTTGGCTGGTCTGTTTGATTCGTGGCTGGTTTGTTTGCTGGGTGATTGGGTGGCTGGTGTTTGTTTGTTTGTTGTTTTTTTTGTGGACTGGTTTGGGTTGTTCGATGGTTGGATGGTTTGATTAGTTGGCTGGTTGACTTTGGTTGTTTGCTAAATATTTATGAAGAAGATCCTTTCTTTCAACTGTTTGGAGTAAGATTACGTTTAATAAATGATTTACAGATTATGTTGAGCATAATGGCAAGATTGTGGGAACCTTTTCTTTTGTTCAATTAGCGCGATCAATCCCCCCCACCCCCATCCTCCCTCCAGTGCTCATCATTCTTCATGATATTAGATCTGGGAAAAAAAACAACGGTTTATTGTCGAACACGAAAATTTTGCGGGCTTTTTTAAATTCTGATTCCCGCATTTTAGCGCTGCATTTGTGTTACCGATTATCCCATCGTCTTCAAGTCCGCTAGGTTGCTGTAATTAGTGTCCACGTTATTTGACGGCATTTGCAACTAATTCTTTAAACTCTGAACTTTACAGCATGAAAACATAGAATTATAAATGCAGGCCAAGGTGGCCGAGAATATCATGTTTTATCACCTTATACCTGCAAAATGCATTATATTGCTTCCTGCATTTAAAGTGTACTGCATTATATGTTTACAATATTCAGCAAAAATTTAGGTTAACGGACTTCTGTTTTCTGAAACGCAATAGTTCTTGGTTTAAAATATAGTTCGTATACTGCATTAGTTAGTTCTAGCAATGGTAGAATATTTCAGTACAATATAGCTATTTATTTACAACATTATACAAAAATGTTATTATACTAAAACTTTAGCACTTCAATATTCTTGGCAAACTTTAGAATACTATTAAAAAGTGTATTTGTTTGTTTACAGGGCGTACAGATGCAAGAGCGAAACCTGTTCCTGTTTAATGATCTGTTATTAATAGCAAAGGAAAGATCGTCTTCACATTTTAAACTTAAAGATCAGGTAAGCAAAACTTAGGTTTCGGGAGGAGGAGGAGGAGGGGGGGGGGGGGTAATATGACCCAACCAGTTTTGCAACTGTGCACTTGCTTTCAGTCGAACACCCCCCCCCCTGAGTCGCATCCAGTCTCCCAGTTGCAAAACTGTAAAAATCTGTTGTGTGGCGCATTTACTATTTATTGCTTTAGGCGATCGTAAACATCCGATACACTATATTTTCCTTAATTGTTCCTTTTCATATTTTACTACGATACTAGAAGGCTTGTCATATATCATGCTTGATGGTCAAAACTAAAGTTTCTAATAAATTGTTTTCTCTGACGCAATTTTTCCTGTGTATGATTGCTCGGGGCTCTCACGCACATACGCAACCTTTGAATATGTGTACGCAGTTTCATTTTATATTTGGGAAATGGAATTTAAATGATTAGGGAAACTGGACTGAACACGCAATTTCCATACATATTGTATAGTGTATGTTAAAGTAAAAATCATTCCTGTATTCGCGCCATTTTTTAAATTTTAATATGATTTTGTTCCCCCCTTTTCCTATTTCTGCATTTGAAAATATAAAGCTTGTACTCGCAAATAATATAGCCATTGCAACACAGACCCTTATGCATTGAATAATAACTTTACTGTTCTTCACTTCTCTGTGACGCATCCTATGTTTTTACTAATGCGTAATACATATTGCTCTGTTCTACTATAAGATGCATTTAGTCATTGAAGATCCTATTTGATCTATGCGTCAAATAAAAAGATAAGATCATCTATTTCTCATTGCTGGTCTTTGACGCATTTATTCGTTGAAAATCCTATGCATTTGATCTATGCGTCAAATTAAAACGAAATTATCTATTTCGCATTGCTGCTTCTTTGGCACATATGGTATTGCAGACTCTTTAAACTTGATGCGTAACATGTAAACGACAGAACCCTTTATTTCTACTTTTTGACGCATCTAGTCATTGCAGAGATCCTATGTGTTTGACCTATGCGTTATACATACATACAAAACTAAATATGTTACAATACTATGTATTTGGCTATATCAGGGGGCGGAAACGTCATGTATGTGTGTTTGTACCAAAAGAGTGTGTGTAATGACGAACCGAAGGCGTGTACTGTAGGTATATACAGTACAAGTCAACACTAAAATCCAAATTTTCATGCAAAGAATATAATTTGATTAAAGTTTACAATAAACTACTCGTTATTCAAACTTAATTACATTTGACGACATTGTTCTGAAATTTCCTTGACTGTAGTCATGTTGTGTGTCTGCACCAAATGAGTGTGCGTGTGTGTTAACGAACTCTCCTGCAAAATAGTGCGACTGGCTTTCTCATGCCACACCAGCGCCATTTCCCCTTCAATTTATCCTTATTCCCTGGAGTACATGCGTACAAATTCATCTCTACATATATAGCCCAATTTATTTTTTTCCATTGATTGTTTTATCCCTTTTTTATTTTTTTTTAAAGAAAAGAACCATTTTTATTATTTACAATATTTTTGAACAAATAACAAATGTAACATATAAATGCTTAAGTTAACATTTTATTAATAAGTCTGATATTACTAAGCTTAAAAATAAAATTATAAAGTGAATTGAGTCTGTGTTTACTAGAGGTTTTTGTGTTTATAATTTTATAGCTCTTACAGTCGTCTTCCAAATCAGGTACCTCTGTGCGATGTCTGGATGTCAACTTGTATACCTGATGTGTCCGAGGTCACTCTGGACTCGACTACCTCCTTCGTCGTCGGTTGGCCGATAACCAATGCAGTTTTAACCTTCAGGTAACCAATCAACTCCCGACTTTTTACGATACTGTTCCATGAAACGTTAAAGTCTCCGTTTCTCTCAAAAATATTATATTCAGTTTTTATCGGAAAGACTCGGAATTAATTTAAAATTTTACAACTTGATTTTACAAATATAATTGAAGAAACAATAATCACAAATAGCTCTGTCATCCAAAATGTGGTCTGCCTTTTTAACATTTAAATTACCAGAGATTTATGTATATGTAAAGTCGTCTGATAAACTGTCAATTAATACCGGGTCTTTCTGATTTTGCCTGTATAAATAATTTATATTTTATAGAAGCTTAAAAGCATATTTATGATTTTTTTGTAAAACTAAAATAAAAACATTTTTCTCTTTTCTGTTCTTTGTTCTAAAAGATGGTGCATATATATATATAATTATGTATAATATAATATTATTTTTATCCTTTTTAATGTACGCGTCGTAAGTTATGCATTTTATGGTGTACAATGTATGTTTACATAGCGTTCAGGCGTACTTCAATGTTTATTTACTTTAACCCTGAAGAATGGATGAGTGTGTATGTTTGTGTATGGTGTACGTATACACAATGTTTATTCACTTCCCATTCACCATATTTGTCCTCAAACCTTCAATAATGCCAAGTGCAAACAAATATAATTTTTAAGATTTAAAATGAAATGCAATTTTTTAATTTAGCTCAAAACTGTGATATTTTTGTTGTTTTATGAGGTGTTTTATGTATCCATGTTGGTCTTCTACACAGAGTGTCCCATATCGGATTTTCTAAAATTACGCAAAAATACGCACAGAATACTCGTCGTTATAGCTTGTATTTTTGCATGCAAATTTTTTTCTGCATGCACATTTTCCTACTAGCCTTGTACTAACTTGTTAAATGATACTAAATTTCTGATTACTTGTGGAAATCAGAATTTAAAGCTTTTTACGGTCCATATGATGTGGGACACCCTGTAAGTCAATATGATGTGGGACACCCTGTATTTTAATATACAGTGGGACACCCTATATGTTAATACAAAGTGGGACATTCTGTATGTCAATATGAAGTGGGACACCCTGTATGTCAATATGAAGTGGGTCACCCTGTTTCTCAATATATAGTGGGACACCCTGTACGTCCACATAAAGTGGGCCACCCTGTATATCAATATGTAGTGGGACACCGGCCCTGTTTGTTAATTTGATGTGGAACACCCTGTATGTTTGTATGTTGCGGGATACCCTGTATGTTAATATGATGCGGGACACCCTGTATGTCAATATATAAATGGGACAACCTGTGATGTCCTTCAATATATGTTGAACACATATGGCTCAGGATAGTTATGAACTGTGCAGTGCGTATGATGTGTTTGTGTGTGTGGAACTTAAGGAAAGTGAGAGGGGGGGGGGTTAAAGTTTAAAAGAAAACAATACTAGCGAAAAACGAGAAATCTGTTAGACAAGTTTAGACAAGAAATCTGAAAAAGGAGCGAACAAATCTGAAAAAGAAATCTGAATGAAAAATTTGAACGATAACTGTGAACGAGAAATCTGAACCAGAAATCTGAACAAGAAATCTGAACATCAAATCTGAACGAGAAATCTGAACGAGTAATCTGAACGAGAAATCTGAACGAGTAATCTGAACGAGAAATCTGAACGAGAAATCTGAACGAGAAATCTAAACAAGAAATCTGAACAAGAAATCTGAACGAGAAATCTGAACAAGAAATCTGAACATGAAATCTGAACGAGAAATCTGAACGAGAAATCTGAACGAGTAATCTGAACGAGTAATCTGAACGAGAAATCTGAACGAGAAATCTGAACGAGAAATCTGAACAAGAAATCTAAACAAGAAATCTGAACGAGAAATCTGAACAAGAAATCTGAACATGAAATCTGAACGAGAAATCTGAACGAGAAATCTGAACGAGAAATCTGAACAAGAAATCTNAAGATCACACAAACATACATGCATACACACATCTATATATATATAGTTGTATTCTCTGTTAAGGGAAACTATGAAGATCACACAAACATACATGCATACACACATCTATATATATATAGTTGTATTCTCTGTTAAGGGAAACTATGAAGATCACACAAACATACATGCATACACACATCTATATATATATAGTTGTAATCTCTGTTAAGGGAAACTGTATAAAGATCACACAAACATACATGCATACACACATCTATATATATAAAGTTGTAATCTCTGTTTGTGTGTTTGTATGTCCGATCATAACTCAGGAATCCCTTGACAGATTTGCCTCAAATTTTAATTGTGAAATTCGGGAGACCCACAGGAATGTTCTAACTTGATCGGATAAAAAGCTGAATTGGTAGTTTACGAGTTACGACAAAGTGCGGGGAAACAGTGTGAGTATAAACTGTGAATGCCCTGGGCAACGTCGGGTTCTCAATTCGCATACACACCTCTTTTAAAAGCACACATTACACATTTAGTATATTCTTCAGAATGCAGAATTATTTAAAAATGTTCGGGGCGTCTCGTTATTTGCAATTTTGCAAATTAAACCATGGCAAACATTTGATTGCAGTTTTTTGGCTGACCAAATTTAGGAATTGCTAATTGCGAATTTTAATAATGATTATTAAACACATGATACACGTATTAATTTGTAATTATAACAGCTATAATTAGAATATTTTAAATATTAGACATTTGTTCAAATTAGATTATAATTAGATTTGAGTAAGCTAAAAATATGACCTAAAGGTGGAGCAGGGATATTTGATACCATGTCGATAATTTTAGAAAGGGTCAAAAACTCCCCTTCTCAGTCCATACAATACTTTTTTCCGATTTAATCGTTCATTTCTCGTACTTTCATTTCCGTATTTTCTTAGTGAATGAATGAATAAATGGCGGTTTATCAGTTTACTCAATGAGAATGTTGTGAGCACAAGAACAGAGGCAGATACTGCCGGATTTTTAGTTAAATACAGAGAGACAAATAATAGTAGATTTTAGTTTTTAAATTTTATCCTCTGCAGTTTTAATCAAGTTACTTTAAGAGAGAAACCACAATTGAAAATTGAAAATTTTCAGGTAGAAAACAAGGATATCTTTATATATTTAGATTTACAGGGTACCGTAGTGAATGACTGAAGCACTTTTACTTAAATGGCCGGAAGTCTCTTTAACAAAAAATGTCATTAATTTTTGTCTTAATTCCCAGTTTTAGTTTTAGTTGACAATACTGCACTGGTGCACTAATAAACCTTTATCGTTTTTTCCCTCGTGTTGGATTCTAGTAATATCCTTCATTGTGTCTGCAGCATTTGGTCCCAAGGTATCTACTTACAGAAACTACAATTAAAAATAATAACTTTTTCAGATTGGAAATTAAGAATATTTCATTAATTAATCCTTGCTCAGAAAATATTAACAAGGCCATCCAAGGCATCTTGTGAATCTGACGTGCCACTTTATGGAAAGACGGGTCACTTGAACTTACATCTTGAGTCTATTTAAAAACAAAAATTAATCATTTTTTGTTTAGTTCTCAGGCTGAGCGTGACCTATGGTGGAGTAAGCTAGCCCAGTTGACAAGCCTAGAAAGGGAGCATAGTCCTGCTGGGGCTAGCATCAATATCACATACTTCGATAATTCAACCAACTTTGAGCATGTAAGCTATAATAATTATAATTATGATAATAATGATAATAATATAATGATATAATTAATTGAGCGTAACTTTTTTAAAACATTGTATTTGGTATTCTTTAGTTTTATTCCTTTATTCTGTGACACCCTGTATTTCGATATACTGCAGTATATATTTCTATATTTAATGGACACCCTGTGTTTCTTTATTCTACAGTATATATTTCTATATTCTATGGAAACCCTGTATTTCGATATACTGCAAAATTTCTATATTCTGTGGACACCCTGTATTTAAATACTCTGCAATATATTCCTATATTATGTGGACACCCTGTGTAATTGATATTCTGCAAAATATTCCTATATTCTGTAGATACCCTGTGTATTTGATATTCTGCAATATATTCCTTTATTCTGTGCACACCCTGTGCATTTGATATTCTGCAATATGTTCCTTTATTCTGACTCTGTGTTTTTTTATATTCTGCAATATATTCCTATATATTGGGGGATATAATGAGAACAACTGATTGGATTTCTCCGATTGCGCGAATTTGTTGCAATAAATTTCTTATTTGAAGGTCGACATTTTGTTGAGAATTAATACTCCGAATTCACAAAAATAATTAGCAAAATGCTTGAATTTAAAGAATGATCTTATTTGAGTTAGGTAGGCTAGGGGTGGGGGTGGGGGGTTAATTACCATATATTTTTTTAGAGTTAAGACGAAAGTTTCTCTAGATATTGTTACCCGATTAGCATATTAATTGGTTTAATGATGAGATAGATAAAACACTTCGGTTTTAGGTACGAGGGGGGGGGGGATATTTTACCTGTAGTAAATCAATAAATTATCTCATTTATATTTTTGTAAACCGTGAATATACGTTCTTTATTTCTTTGACCCTAGTTGCGGTCAACATGTACCGTTATATATCTAAATATAGACAGTTCAACTTGAACAAACTCGTGTTATTTACGGATCGTATATATCTGGATAGATTGAGAGGACAGAGTTTGTGACAGCGCATTTATGCTGGTAAAGACATTGTAGGAGTTTAGGCATTTTCTACATACCTAAAATATACTGATCTTAATTCTTACAGTACATGACGTTGTCCCCTTCCCCTCCCTCTGAACCTTAAAATCTGTCCATTTTTCTTTCTAATATAGGCCTTCTCAGTTTCTCTATACGCCCACTCACCCAACTACCGTTTTAGTAATCTACCCCCTCCCATTCGGAACACACTTCCCCTTATCTCCCCCTCTTTCCCTTCCTAAAATGATATTTCCTACTGTTGCATAAATTTTCCTGCTTAAAAATCTTTAAACTGAAGATATCTTGCTTCGTGAAATGTATATCTATCTATTTTTTCAAATACACATAAATGTAATATCTAGTTACTGCCTGAGGCGTTGCTTATGTATGCATAATGCATATTGCATAAGCCATGAGTAACGGAAGCTTAAAAGATAATAAAAATTCTCCTAAGCCAATTGCAAGCATTAACTCTAATTAAGATTGATGTACAATTTGTGTGTCAAGAAAAAGATGAAATTTAGAATAATTAGTTTAAACTATTTTAAACTGACTCAAAATGTCTTAAATCTGTAATAAAGGTAGAAAAATAATATTGTCATACATTTTTTTCTAAAAATGTTTTATTTATTTTATTTTAGTTAAAATCAATCTACGTGGCAATCACAGATACATCAAGAGACTGTATAGAGAAGGCATTATCTAGTCTACCCCTCGCGGATTCAAGGTACGTCATCCCCCCCCCCCACCAACAAAAACAAACAAAAAACATGTACAGTGGCACACATTTAACTGTAGAATAGAAAGACAACATTTAAGAATTATTATGGGTATTTGATGTTATTTAAAGAGAGTTTAACATTAGTTAGAAAATTAACTTTTTATTAAAGGAAATGGGCCTTTTACTTTGCGTACACTGTACAGTGTACAGTGTACATTGTACAATGAATAAAGCACATGTTTGACTTCAATTCAAGTAACTTTATTTTTCTATTCATGCTCCCTTTGTTGTTTGACCTTGCAGTTTACCAAAACTAATTTCTTTGTTCTAAATCACATTTTTCCAAGACGAAAATTGATCTTTCAGGGATACGGGTCAAACAGAGCAGTCGGGAGAGAACCGAATGGAAAGCGGCGACCTAAACGGTAGTGCTCCACGGTCCAGAGATCCGGCAGAATACCAACTTTGGGTTAAAACTAAGTTGGATGAATCTCCCTATCCGTTAATAGGTGAGAAAATAAAATTTCATACCATGTACTTGATATAATAGTTGGTATGCGGAGTAGAGTTAAGAAAATACGTCTACATATAAAGTTGTAATCATTATTTGTCTATTTGTGTGTATGTTCGATCATAACTCGTGAACCTCTTGACCGATTTGCATCAAATGATTTTGATGGGGGAACCCGGGGGAACCACGGGAATGTTCTTAGCTTGGTAAAGAGATTCTAAATTGAGTGGGTTCACTTTTATAGCGAAAACTGGCTAATATCGTAATTTACGACCAAGCGCGGGTAAACGGCGGAGGATTAGTTAGGAATAGTTAGGAATATATAGGAATAGATAGGAATAGTTGGGAATAGTCGGGAATAGTTAGGAATAGTTAGGAATCGTTGGGGATAGTTAGGAATAGATAGGATTAGTTGGGAATAGTTGAGAATAGCCGGTAATAGCTAGGATTAGTTAGGAATAGTTCGGAATAGATAGGATTAGTTGGGAATTGTTGGAAATAGTTGGAAATAGTTGGGAATAGTTGGGAATAGCTAGGATTAGCTGGGAATAGATAGGATTAGTTAGGAATAGTTAGGAATAGTTAGGAATAGAAGTTGATTATGATAAACAGTAAGTAAGGAAGTATGAAGCAGGAAGGTTGGGAGACGGAAGAAGGTTTATGAAACCTAAGAATGATGAATCGTTCTGTTATCTTTATACACTTAAAGCGACTGTACGCGTAATTTCTTGTAACCCTCCATGTAAAGATACCAATGTTTGATTTTCAATGGTACCCTTGAAAGCTTTGTCTGATGAAGCATGAATTAGATATACATGTTTATAATTTTGTTAACTGATTGTTTTCAATTTTGGGTTCCCTATAAAAGTGACTTGCACAGTTCTTCTGCAGGAACACATTTAACCCTTTTAAATCTAGAAAAACGACAATTTCTTCGACAATTTTGATCAGATTAAGGTTTCAAGGTTACCATTGTGATTCGGGCATTATCATCTTTACAAGAAAGGTCACTTGAAATCAGGCGTACTGTCCCTTTAAAGACACTTGAAATCAGGCGTACAGTCCCTTTAAAGACACTTGAAATCAGGCGTACAGTCCCTTTAAAGAACATTCAAGTGTCAACAGATCACACTGTTATCCCGGATATATAGAACAGGATACATATACATATATACAGTCATAACCAGAAATCTCTGGAATAGGAAATCGACTTTTAGACTCAAAGCATGACTCTTTTTCTTTACCCAGGATAACCGTTTTGTTGATTTTATTTGTACAATTATGAATTTTTAGAATAATTATAATTACAGTTGCAAACTTTTTAAACACATCATAAAACAAAATATAGATGTACGTAGGGATGTTAACGTTTTCATTTTTTTGAAAAACGATCGTTTCGTTATGAAAACGACGACTAAATAACGAAAACGAAACGATCGTTGTTAAAAACAATCGTTTTTTGAAAAAGTTCGTTTTTTTAAAAAGGTTGTTTTCAAAACGATCGTTTTCCGAAAACGAAACGATAGTTTTTGAAAACGATCGGAAAACGAAACAAAAAACAATCGTTTAACGATCGTTTTCAAAAACGATTAACAACCCTAGATGTACGAAATCTAATGCTGTATCCTATATCTTAAAAAGACAATAAAAAAGCTACCCAACAGGTTTTAAAATATAAATATTATTATTTAAATTTTTATATTAATTTTCAGGTCATGAAATTCCTCTTGTGATAAAGCTGAACTGGATGAGACAATCGTTTAACAACAAAAATCAGAAAACCTATGATGAATATAGACAGGGATGTAGATGTTCCTTTATACTCAGGTTAGTGCCTTTTATATTTTTTTAAGTGATATATATAATTTGGAAAAATACACCCCTGTTTTTAAGCAATTTTCTCCAAACATGTACATTTACTTGTTTTATTTAATGGTCAATTTTTGTAAAAAAAATATTTACTAAATACCTATTCCTTTATTTATTGTGGCAAACACCATTTTCATTTTTACTTAGATTTATCTTAAATCAAGGCAATTTTATAATTTAAAAAAAATGTCTAAAAATTTATTTTTAACCCAATATTTTTTTTGTTTTTAGAAGAGTTGGCCAGGTCTCTAATTTCAACGAGGTTGGATCTCAAAAGAAAAAATTAAAAAAGGTAAACCTAAAAATTGAACATATTAAAAAACTAATGTTGGAATTAAAAATTTAATAAAGAAATTGATAATTAGTTTAAAAAAAGAAATATTTGTTTGAAATTGTTTTCATAATTTTGTTCTGAAGGTGAAAAGTAGTATTCGGCTCCAGAATGTATTTCGCCGTGTGAGCCAAGGGGCGAAGGGTAACGACTCTGTTGACGGCGGAGCCCCGGCGGAGGAGAAGAAGGTCGGGAAACTGTTTGGTCGGAGATTGGAGGATATCTGCCGGGTAGAAGGAGAGGTCGTCATTCTTCCGCCTCCAGTTCTCGTAAGTTCAATTTTATAATTACTGTAAGCGTAATTTGAAATGACCCTCTCTGCAAAAATGACAATGTCTGACTTAATACACTCCTGTATGCCGAGTCCATTAGCGCCTGATCCAATCAGGGTTCAGTCATGTGTTTGTTGTCTATTCTGAACCAATAGAAATTGTATGCCGGTAACATCTTTTTATCTATCTCATTCTCCAATTAGAGTTATGAATCCTTCAATCGGCGCTATCAGTAAATGGAAATATTATTCTACTGAAACTATACTGATTACTGAATAACCCTTCAAACCTTTGTCTGATCAAGTATGAATTAGATATCAATGTTTTTGTTTCTTTAAACTGTTTATTTTCATTTGTGACTTGCGCAATTCTTGCTTTTAAGAAGCAATGGAGAAACTCACAGAAATGATCACTTTTTAATAAGAAAAACGTTTGCATGTTGCACATTTTTAATCGAAGTAAAGTATGAATTGGGTACCTATAGATACCTAGATACCGGTGTAAATCAGACATGCCATCTTTTATTGAGGGACACTCAACATTACGCTTACAGTGCCTTTAAACTTCACTGTCAGAGGCGTAACTGGGGTATTTTTTTACATTGAAGATTAACCGTCATTTAGGCACTTGCGCTTATCTTAAGATGATAGCTTCTTCAATAATATTACGCTCAACCCCAAATTTATATTCGGTGAAATTTACGCCAAATATATTTATTGCCATGTAGCTCCTCTTCTTTGATTTTACGTGTGTAAAATTCTAGATTATTATTATTATTATTATTAAATTTAGTGCTTTACAATAGCTGTTCAGAAAGAGAAGCTATGCTTAAAAGTACGAATAATTTTAGTCTAAAATTTACTTCAACTTGGTGTAAATAATATATCTAGTGTGTGGACATTTTAATAAACAAAAGTAGTCTGTTAAGAAAGAATGCCTGTTTGTCTGTTTTTATTACGGTCTGTCTGTTTTTCCGGGTACCCGAGCTTGACACAATACCACAATTGGTGGTTTCAATGAAATAAAATGGTTTTATATTTTACCCCTAGAATATCAGCTAGGGGTTTTAACAACGCGGTTTAAAGGGGTTTAAAAAACGCATTCTATTCTGGATCAACAAAATAAACCATTATACACGTAGTTTTAGTGACCCCACATTTATGACGATAATGAAATACCATATCGGCAGAGAGTGTTGAAACATGTGACTTAACTCGCAAATAAATTTTTGTAATCTGTTTTGATCAAATTAACTCACAAGACCCCAGGGAAGGGTTTTAGACGGAACAATTTGCCCAGAAAAAATATTATTTTTGAAAATGCTCCAATGAAGAAAAACGTCGCGAAAATATTTGTTCATTGCATTGTACGATGAAAAAGTGACTTGAAAAGCAACAGTTAAAAGCAAAAATTGTCACTGAAAAAAAGTTTTAAAAAAATTGTATTCAACTTTGCACCCTCCCCTTGCTCCTCTAATATTTGAGGGAAGGGTCCCTTTATTTCAAGTTTTCTTGTTTACAATCTTAAACTACGATATTAGAATTTATTCCTTGTACTGCATAGCGGGATAAGATAAGAATGGGTTGATAAGCTTATTAAAAACTTGCACACATAGTTCACATATTTAACATACTAATAAACTGTTTTTGCATTCTCTTATCTATCTATATGGACCTTCATCTATCTATCTATCTATCTATCTATCTATCCATCTATTACTACATAAACCTTCATTCATCTATTCATCTATCTATTTGGACCTTCCCCTTTTCTATCCATAGATCTATATGGATTTCATCTATCTACATGATTCTTCATCTATTTGACTCATAAAACACCTTTTTTTCTATTTAGTAACGTAGCAGCTAGGTTTAAGTCCAAGTGAGAAGATTTAAATAATTTTCTGGAAGATTTTTTCCGAATGATTTTTAAACTGTTTGTTGCAAAGATTTGTTAGTTTTATCTGTGGACAACTCCCACACATTAAAGGTTGAAAACTCTCCCTTGTTCTGCCACTTCCTTACTTGTATTCTAAACTGTTTAGGACATAAATATACGCCCCATGCACTCCCCCCTTAGCTTGTAGAGTCTAGGAGTATGTTTGTGTGTATAGAGATCAATAAAACTGTATACAAACACTCCCCCCTAGCTTGTAGAGTCTAGTAGTATATTTGTGTGTATATAGAGATCAATAAAACTGTATACATACACTCCCCCTAGCTTGTAGAGCCTAGGAGTATATTTGTGTGTATAGAGATCAATAAAACTGTATACATACACTCCCTCCTAGCTTGAAGAGTCTAGGAGTATATTTGTGTGTATAGAGATCAAGAAAACTGTATACATACACTCCCCAATTAGCTTATAGAGTCTAGGAGTATATTTGTGTGTATAGAGATCAAGAAAACTGTATACATACACTACCCCCCTAGCTTGTAGAGTCTAGGAGTACAGTGAGAATCAGAAAACTCTGGAATAGGAAAACGACTGAATTCAAAGTGCAATGAACATGAGACACAGGAATTAAGCAGTTTAAACCAGGGGGCGGAAACGTCATGTATGTGTGTCTGTACCAAAAGAGTGTGTGTAAGTAATAACGAACCGAAGACGTGTACTGTAGGTACAGTAGAAAAGAATCTCGGTATTTGTACAGTCTGGGAGAGTACATTTGTTTATTGTTAATTGTTTACTTAAAAAAAGTAAAATGTACATGTAATATATTATTTATATATTTAAGTCAACACTATAAGCCAAATTTTCATGCAAAGAATATAATTTGATTAAAGTTTACAATAAACTACTCGTTATTCAAGCTTAATTATAATTGACTACATTGTTCTGCAATTTTCTCGACTGCAGTCATGTTGTGTGTCTGTACCAAACAAGTGTGTGTGTAAAAACGAACTCGTCTGCAAAGCAGTGCGACTGGCTTTCTCGTGCCAGACCAGCGCCATTTCCCTTCCCTTTATTCTTATTCCCTGGTGTAAACAGACCCATTTCGCTAAATAGGTGATTCAAAAAGTTACCAGAAAAACTATTTGCGTTGTAACAGCAAATACACTTGATTTATTTTTTAATGTCGTCTTCCTATTCCGCGGCTTTCCGCTTCTCGCTGTATATTTGTTTGTATAGAGATCAAGAAAGGAACACGTAAATCTGTTATACTAATAAATACAGAATTAAGCTTATCCTTCCATGTACAAGGGCAAATTAAATTAAATCCCTTATTATAATTAACTTTTTCTTAATCATTTTTTAAGATCTAAATATTTTTATTCAGTAAAAAGTTAAATGCATACATTATTGATTAAGATTTGTACGATTACATATACATTTTAACCTCGGACTGGGGGGCTCTCACGGACCTCTCCTCGGACTGGGGGGCTCTCATGAACCTCTCCTCCAACGGGGCGGTGACATTGTGGTTTGTGTTTTCACATGTTCTCCTCTTTATTCTTTTCCTCCTTCTTCGGGTTCTTAAGGACTGAGACCATGGAGCTTGCAATTTTGAGAAATTGAAGTACTCAATACCTTCTCTGAACCACAGTTTTAGCTCCACCTCTACACCAGCTTGTAAACACTCCCTATATAATCCCAGAACTCGATGAGTAAAACTCATTGTCAAGTATGTTAACTAAAGGTTGTGTTTATCTCGCCCCATAGCAACAGCTGTAGGGGCCACCTTGGGGACAGGTATCATACCAAAGAGAGAGAAAGAGATAGGACCTTCCTGCTGAAATGCCGGTACTGAACTGAACTTAATCATGATCCATCCTTTTCTGAAGAGCTAATGAAAATCACAATTAAGTTTTTTACTCTTAAAAGCATACACTCGAAGTGGGACCACGATAGGTTTTATAAGGGTCAAACTAAAAAAATTGGAAAACAAAGCTGGGTGTGAGATTTCGCCCTACAGAATCTTATTTCTACCAAAAAAAGCCTCTTTTAAGAATACTTTATTGTGTCTATGCAAATTATCCGTTTGTTTGTTTCTTGTTTACCATCCAAGGAATATATAATGAAGGTAGGGGGGATAGGGTTTGTAATTGTGACATAGTTGTACTAATCAAGCAGTTGTTTCAAGCTTTAGTGTTTTTGCTTTGATTAAACTAGTTCCTGTCAACACAAATACGCCACAGTCAAATGTGTTACACTAGCCCCCTACCCTACCTTTGTTATACACCCTTAGTATTTGCTGTTCACCAACACCCCTACCTTTGTTATACATTCCTTGGTATTTGCTGTACACTAACACCCCTACCTGTATTATACTTCCCTTGGTATATGCTCTTGACCAACTCCCCTACCTTTTTTATACATCTCTTGGTATTTGCTCTGCACCAACACCCCTACCTTTGTTATACATTCCTTGGTATTTGCTGTACACCAACCCCCCCTACCTTTGTTATACATCCCTTGATATTTGCTCTAGACCAACCCGGCAGTAAAACACGCCTTAAAAGGCGTGTCCTGCTACACTGCAGGATCGGCCGGGTACACTGTAACATAAAGTTTGATGAGCTCTATATACTTCAACTCAATGTCTCCATCCGATCTTAAATCTTTCACCGTCCCGGACACTTATATCAATTTATAAATCTAAATTTACAGAATAGTTCCCGCCCCACCTTCCATACAAATCAGAATCTACAAATTCCCTCCCCCCCCCACAATGCTCCACCTTGTTTCATGTTCTCTCTAGGTTGTCAATCATTGTTGCTCTCTCAAATGAAGAGGATGGGGGGGGGGAGATAATTGGTTTTGAGATTTTCCGCATTTTCAATGAATTTATTCAGTCCAACTTTTTTGCTAACATTTCTCGATAATGTGTTTTAAATTAGGTTCTTGCATATAATCTAGTTTTTTCTATTTTCCTTTAAAAATTTTCCATCACCAAACAATGTTTCTGGAGTAGATATCAAATGAGAAGATTTAGTTTTTGGACTTTGAACTATTCATTCTTTTGCATTCCCCTTGTCATCTTTGTAAGTGGAGCATAATGCATTTGAATTCATATACAACTGTACCCTCCCCTCCCCCATTCTACTATCTACATAACATTTAAACTTCCTCGACATATACAGTGATAACCAGAGAACGCTGGAATAGAAAGACGACATTAAAAGCAGTAATTTTCTGCATTTGATTTTGTTATGAAGCAAAAAGCTTACGCTGCACAATTGATGTGTCTGATGTTGACTGGACCATTTCAAGACAAACTTTGAATCTAAAAGTCGTCTTCTTATTTCAGAGTTTTCTGGTTCTCATTGTATCTTTATGGGTAAACCAACCATACATCTTAACCCATCAATATTTCTAGTCCTAAATGATAGGAAACAGTCAGCATAAATCCGTTTGATCGTTTCTGAAGTTGTGGGTATCCCTCTATGTAATTATATTAGCATAAACTTCTTAACAGCTACTTCAGAGGTTTGGGGTTTAGACACTTTTTGAAGAACTGATTTTAAAGTTTACCGTTTTTGAACTTTTTTTTATGTAGAGGCCTTCCCTAATATATAGAGCGTATATGTGGGGAGGGCTCCTAAAAAATCCTTTTTTTTCTTCGAATATCGAAAAACGCACAAATAAATTAAATGTATAACCCTGTTCCTATTTAGTGTATGCTACGACAGCTGGAGAAGACAGGACCCTGTACAGTTGGAATCTTCAGAAGAGGTCCTAATGTCAGAACTATGCGAGACCTGAGAGATAAATTAGACTGTGGTGACCACGTGGACTGGGAGGAAATATCTGTATTCGTGACCGCGGCATTGCTCAAGGAAACCAAACTTGTCAGTCGTCTTCCATTTGATTAATTAATTGATTATAGATTATTGTGAATTTAATTGAATGTCTTGAATGCTTGGTTTCTTGCTTGGTTTAACCTTGGTAAACCAATATGAGAAATATTCCCAAGAAGTTGGAAAATTTTAAATATTTTCTTGTTTTCATTATTTCGCCAGAAGGTGTCCTTGTATCTGTAACCATGTTTAAACAATCAATTAAATTAGATTTTTGTGCTCTTGGGTGCCATGGAGGGTGGGGTAGGATGAAACAATAATTTGAAGATTTCCCCATCCACCCTCCCAACTTGAGGGGAAAAATAGTTCGTTGTGTTTTTTTTTAAAAGTTTTATTTGATTACCAAATACTTGTTAAATGATTTAATGATTTAAAGATTAGTTAACTTTCATGCTGAGAATGTTTGAACGATAAGTTTGGTTATTTACAGGATTTCCTTCGTTCTTTGCCAGACTGTGTTTTACAATGTGAGCAGTACACAGCTTGGAGTACTGCATTTTCCTCAAATAGTCTAGATAGTATTAAAAGGTAGTACAAGAGTACACAAGAAGGTAGTACAATAGTACATGAGAAAAGATCTACTTTCATCCCAAGAAACTATATGGTTGACCTATAATGTTCTAATCTATCTTTGTTACCGGAAGGTTTTGAACCTTAGAATTTCAAAATTTGACGCTTTGTAATTGTAGAATTCAAAGTTTGAAATATTCAAGGTCTACAACATTTGGTTGCAAAGATATTAGTTCCATTGAAAGAATCGATGAAAATTGTTTAATTTACAAAAAAAATATCAACGGTCAAATAAAAAATAAGAATATGCAAACGTTAATCACAAGCTGTAATACTATAATTATAATATCTCAATCTTAAGTTAGTAAATTCAAGTTATGTTTAATTATTACTCCGATTTGATTTGATTTGATTTGATTATTTGGCTCTAATGTTTTTTTTAATCCAGGTATTTAGCTGATCTGCCAGCGGTCAACAGGTTCCTACTTCACAATATTCTTTTTATCCTTCATAGAACAGCAGAAAACAGCCAGGTGGGGGAAACAGCAAATAAAACGTTTTTGTAAAAGAAGGAAAACCGAAAAAATAGCTGCTAGGCCATATCTTTAAAGGGACTGTAAGCCTACTTTCAAGTTACCCTCCATGCAAGGAAGGCAATGCCCGATTTACAACGGTACCCTTAAAAGCTTTGTCTAACAACATGAGTCATAAAACAGCAGAAAAAGAAGATAGACAGAATATATCCGTGCTTCTAAAATTCTAACAACTAATTTTCGTTTTTATGTATTCCCAGGTTATATATTCCTGCAGGGTCAAATGAATTATGTGTATCCCCCCAACGGGCGTTATAGTTTAAAACCTTAACTACCCTTAATTTTACGTTAACAAGAGTCCTCTCATGAAGTACAGGGAGCCTCAAAATGTTCTATGCCTCAAAATGAATTTTATTTTGAAAAAAATATGGGTCCAAATATTTTTTATCGTCTTGTCTCTTGAAAGATACAAGTTATATTTGATGATTAAATGAAATTTTAAAAAACATTCTTTGTTATCAAATATTTTTTGAACACAATGCCCGTATTACGGGAAACGGGAACAATTTTCGCTATCCTAGTTAAAATCTTAAGAGAGGCCTTAGGCCTGACATTTTTACGACAACTTAACCATTTCTTCATGTTTCATCATGTTGAAATTATATATAAGGGAGTGACCGGCAATGTATGGTGGTTGAACTGAGAATGTAGTATTTTGGAGAAATGTTTTAGGATTCATTTTAAGCATATAAAACTTTTAATGATGTATAATTACTGAGTTTGAGTGCAAGTCGACGCTCAAACATTCCATTTAAGTGAGTACGTTTTGTGAATCGATTAAAAAAATATATTAAATAACGACGACAAAAACTGTTAAGAAAATTCTACAGTAAACTATTTAGATATTTCTTAATTGAAATGTTCTCATTAAATCAATGTAATAGAATCAATTATTTCTTTTCATCATTAAATTAAATCTCTTATTCTTTATGAATTTGTTCGCAGATTTCTTCAAATTCTTCAAATTTCGTCTTTTCAATAAACATTCCAGGAAATCTACAGAAAATGTTTTTGAACAATGAGACATTACAAAAGCTAATAACTGAATAAGATTACTTATTTTCAATGATATTTGTTTATTTTTATTTTGTCAACCTGTTCCTAAACAACTAATTAGTTTACTGTAAAATGTTAACTACATATTTCGTCCTCGTTATTGAATAATGTTTTTAAACCTTTCTCAAAATAATCCCTCAAAAATGAATAATCTATGAGGATTTTAAATATTGAACTTAACAAATATCAAATATCGACCGTGAAAACGTCTAATAGGTCTCAAATGATTCCTAAAAAACTTCTCACAATACTATATTCTCAGTTCAACTACTATACATTGCCGGTCACTCCCTTTAAGAACATTTTGTTTGAACTCTTATTCAAAATTGCAAAGAAATAAAAGGCATAGTCGCCCTAACTAAGAGGACATTAATTCTGAAATAAATTTTTTATATTTTTCCAATTTATTAAAATTTTGTTTTTATTGTTTAAAAGAGTAAAAACAGTTGAATTCCGCAACATCTTGGTTCTCACATTAATTCTCAATTTACCCATGACATTTGGCAGAAATGAAATCCCATTGTAAAACATTTACTTCAAAGCATTGGAATATTACAATAGTTCAACTTTATCATTTTCCTTTCTTAAAAATATTACAAAAATAAATTCTTCTAAAAATTATTTAGGTAAAATATGATTTTTTTGTGTTTTTAGGAGAATATGATGACATGTTCTAATTTATCTATTTGTGTTTTAGGAGAATATGATGACATGTTCTAATTTATCTATTTGTGTTGGACCCTCTTTGCTTTGGAGCACTGATCCATCCTATATGCTGCAACAATCTTATACAAAGGTTTGTATTCTATCTATATATCTATCTATCTAGTTATCTATTTTTCTATCTATCTATCTGTCTAGTTATCTATCTAGCTATCTATCTATCTAGTTATCTATTTATCTATCTATCTAGTTATCTATCTATCTATCTATTTATCTATCTATCTATCTATTTATCTATATATCTGTCTGTCTGTCTGTCTGTCTGTCTGTCTGTCTATCTATTTATCTATCTATCTATCTATTTATATTTATCCATCCTTTATGCAGCAAAAATCTTATTCTATCTATCTATCTAGGAGGTGTCAGGTCTGGTCCAAATGCTGATAGAGAACTTCAGTAGTTTGTTCTCCAGCTGTCCCACCCTGCTGGGGGAGGAACCAATGGATACTGCCCCGCCTCCTTCTCATGTACAAGGACAATCTCATGTACAACCTACTGTACAGCATCATGATAAACCAGAGCTTAAACATAACATAAAGCAGAAAGGTAATGAAGGAAATCATCTGATAAATATCAATGGGGGCCCGGGGGGGGGTTATGATAAGGGTGAGGGTTGGAGAGGGGGGTGGAAGGCGTTTTTCTTTTGCTGTACAGTTTACAGTGTGTATTGATAGGTTTATGTCATCTTTACATCCGGCCTTGACATATTTCAAAAATAGCATCATTAGTTTTTTTATTCTTCCGTCTACAATCCCATATTATTTTTATAAGCCAACTTCTTTATTTGTCGGTGTAATTTCCCATATTCTTCTTAAGCTAACTTCTCATTTTCTTCACTAGCTAACTTTCCATATTCTTTATATACTTTCCCATATTCTGCACTTGCCACGTATTCATCTTTTCTCTCACATTAGTTATCTTTCTTCCCATATTCTTTATATACTTTCCCATATTCTGCACTTGCCACGTATTCATCTTTTATCTCACATTCGTTATCTTTCTTCTCATATTCTTTATATACTACGCTACATTAGTTTTCTTTCTATTTCCAAGATTTATTTACCATTGTCCCATTGTCCCCCCCGCAAAATAAATTTTAAACCTTTCACCGCCAATTATTTGCGCATTTCCCGCGAAATTATCCGCGCAATGCCCAGGAAATTATTGGCGGATTATTTGCAAATTTAATCCGCATGACTTGATGCATAATGTTATACAAATGGGCTAAATAAATTTGTACAATACGTGTCGTCTCATTAATTACAAAAAAGCCCTGAGAGAGGTTGCAAATACTGCCCACATGCAAATATTTAAAGGTTTGCAGAACCTCAAGTTTGCCAAGTCAATACATAATATTTTGACCCCAGCTCAAGCCTTACAGGATGTAATTATGCCTTTAATTGGGCGTTTATATAGGGCCTTAATATGGGTAGAAACAGCTGAACCAGGGGTGTCTAGTAATAAATGCTTGAACACCGCAAAATACTTTTTTCATAATTCATGCTTTATTTGTTCATGTCTCATGCGGGAGGATGTTTTAAATTTCTTAATTTGAGCCAACATTTTATTTCTAATTTTTGTTTTTTGTTGGGACACCCAGTACCATGTACCAGGCGTGTACAATGTTTTGTACTCATTTTACCACTTAACTAATATAAAACTTAAAGGGACTGTACGCATAATTTCAAATATTTGTAACATTTACTTTTGCAGAATTATCAAACCCGTTAAAACAAATACCACATGCAGTACTATAGAATACATTGGCCACATACTTACTTACATTACATTACTCTGGACCACATACAAACCACTCCAACATATACTCATATAGAACTACCCTTAAAAACAATTTTCTGCACGTAACATTTTCTACACGTACATTACATACATTTTAATGTTTCTACACATTTTAACCATTCAAATACCTTGGTCTACACTGCACACGTAAACCCATTATTAAGACATGAACTAAACTCAAGAATAAGATTCGTTTTATGTTGTGTAAGAATAACCAAGACTAGACTGACTAGCACGATATTTAAATGTATTACACAACCTAAAGTATATCAATTTATAAATCTAAATTTACAGAATAGTTCCCGCCCCACCTTCCATACAAATCAGAATCTACAAATTCCCTCCCCCCCCCACAATGCTCCACCTTGTTTCATGTTCTCTCTAGGTTGTCAATCATTGTTGCTCACCATGTCCTCAAGTGTGTGCCCTTTTCAGATTAAAATTGCAAAACTTAAACCTCTCACGAAAATAAAATTAATTGTTTGCAGGGTTTAAAGACAGGGAGGGGGGGGGGAGGGTTAATAGATTTTTTACATGTTAAACGTGTTTGAATATTTTTATGTACTTGGCCGTTTGGTTAGGAGCAGGGTACCCCCTGGTAAGGGTCTAATTGAAATTTTAAACCCAGTCAATTTTTACCAATTCACACTTTCGGGTTTCAGGGGTGCGAAAAGATTTTGAATAACTCTGAAATAATTTTCGAAAATTGATTTATAATTTATATTATACAATTGGGTTGTATTATATAATAATAATAATAATAATATATAATATATGGAATATTAATGTAACCTAAATTTGACTAGTTTTGATTCAACTGAAAAACGTTAAAAAGAGGTTTCTTCGATTTTTACGAAAAGGCGGTTCATTTTGCTTCCAAGTTAAAGATTCCTCTTTTTGTATGAAATTTTCTAGATATAATGTATTAAAATTCGATTTTTATCGTTTTCAGGACTTTTATTATATTGAAGGTTAGGATCTAATCGGTTGGAAGAGATTTTGATAAAATTCAAATACTCTAAATAAAACTCCATACAAGAGTTAAAATGGTGTTTGGTGTATCTTTAAACTTTAAAATCGGATCAAAATCGACCAAATCTAAAAATGTAAAAATGTTATTTTTTTTTGACAAAATCGTTAAAATTTGTCTGTCCTAAAATATCTAAGTTATGTATACCATTCTCGTGATTGTATGTAACATTGTCCAATGACTAGACGAAAATCTGAACCAATTTTCTACTATAATTCAAGGGTAAAAATCCCTTCTTGGCACATTTTTTTCCATTTCTTGATCTGAGTTCGAAACCCTTTTGTCCATTTGACAGCCCATTAAAATTTTTTTTTTAAATAATCTTTTTTGTTTGTTTATTTTCTTGAGGTTTTTAACATCGATTTTCAGACGTCTGGGTAAGCCTTTTGTATTGACAAACAAATAGAACAGTGAGAGGTTTTTTTGGTGCAATAAGAAAAGCTGTCCTTTCATTTTTCAATTTTTATTTTGTTTAAAAAACGCAAATACAAATTTTAAGACTGCATTTAAACAAATAAAAAACTTCAAGCTGTATTTAATTTATTCACCTTTTAATGTTTCATGTCGTATAATCATCGTATTCAGAGAACAGTTTATAGTTAACCAATCAGAGAACAGTTTATAATTAACTAATCAGAGAACAGTTATAATTAACCAATTAGAGAACAGTTTATAATTAACCAATCAGAAAACAGTTTATAATTAACCAATCAGAGAGTAGAGAACAGTTTATAATTAACCAATCAGAGAATTATAATTAACCAATCAGAGAACAGTTTACAATTAACCAATCAGAGAAAAGTTTACAATTAACCAATCAGAAATCAGTTTACAATTAACCAATCAGAGAACAGTTTACAATTAACCAATCAGAGAACAGTTTACAATTAACCAATCAGAAAACACCTAAGAAGCAGGAAGTTATAAAACCAATCGAAAGGATGTCATCGAACGCTCGGAGAAATCTCTTACAATGAGGGAAAATAAGCGGCTATTATGGGTGTTTCAATCATTTTTAATAAGGTTAAATGTTCTTAAATATCCATAATTACACCATGATCCCGATTATGACTATGAAGGGGAGAGATTAGATCTAATACACTGCATCTAGACAACGTATAAACATTAATTATTTCAATAGGGATGGACTAGGAAAGAAATTAGCATACAGGGAGAACCAGAAATATAAAGACGACATTATAGCAATACTTAAGTGATTTCTTTTACAAGGCAAATAGTTTTACTAGTAACTTGTTAAAGCAATTGTTAAGTGAAAATGGGTCTGTTTACACTGCACAATTTTTGTGTCTCATCATCTTTAGACTAGTTATAATTAGAGTCTTAAAGTCGTCTTCGTAATCCATATGTTTCTGGTTCTCACTGTATACAATAGGAGGNTAGATCAACACCTAGCTTGAGATCTTTTATAGATCAACACCTAGCTTGAGATCTTTTATAGATCAACACCTAGCTTGAGATCTTTTATAGATCAACACCTAGCTTGAGATCTTTTATAGATCAACACCTAGCTTGAGATCTTTTATAGATCAACACCTAGCTTGAGATCTTTTATAGATCAACACCTAGCTTGAGATCTTTTATAGATCAACACCTAGCTTCAGATCTTTATAGATCAACACCTAGCTTCAGATCTTTTATAGATCAACACCTAGTTTGAGATCTTTTAAAGATGAACCAGCAATCATTTCTTTTAGTTATCAACTTAAGAATTAAAATTACTCTGATAAAATTCTTCTTTTTCTTCTTTTTTCCAAAATTTTGGCTTTTAAACCCATAATTATTTTAGATGCAATCATGAGATAATATCAAACAATTTCAAAAAACTTGTTTAAAAAGTTCAAACTTTAACTTCTAGTTTAAAATGTTTGAAATTCCATGAAATCTTAAACATTTTGCAAGGCATTGTTAGCTTACTGAGCTAACTTCTCATTTTCTTCACTAGCTAACTTTAGAGGGGGGGAAGAATGCAGGGGGTGCTCAGATTATGAAGATTATAACTAGACAAGTGCATTAAAGTTATGAAACTGCAAGTTCTATTATTTATTTGATAATAATCTTAACAATACCAATATATAGCTTTGTTGCAAAAATAGATTTATGGATAAACAGATCGATTTTAGGATAGACAGATTGATTCTAGGATAGACAGATTGATTTTAGGATAGACGAGATAGATTCTAAGATAGACAGATAGATTCTGGGATAGATCCATACATATTCTAGTATAGACAGTGGGATAGATAGATAGAACATGTTTTCTATGATTATAGATAAATATTCAAATGTATAAACTGAGCTGGGAACTTTAGAACGGTGGATATCGAGATCAATGCTTGATCCTCTGTTTTTCTTAATCTCAAGACTAACCTAATCCTGTACTTGTATCCTGAAAAGTGTATAAAATTCAACCAATCAGTGTCGCGTATCAGAACCCGGGAAATTTGAAATTTTGCGCGCCATTTAAGATTAATATACAAAAACGGGAGAAACTCACTAATTTTGAAAACCGGTTTTTGATTTTTCTGTACCATATCCAAAAAAGATTGGATTAAGCAAGAAATTAAAAGTGTCCACATTGAATATTCAGATTAAGCAGTCGGGATTAAAGGTATCAAATTCTAAAGTTCCCAGAGCTGAGCTGGGAACTTTTGAATGGTGGATATCGGGATTAATACTTAATCCACTCTTTTTCTTAATCTCCAGATTAAATATTGCTTATTCTCCACGTGAATTTAATCTCCAGATTAATTAACAGATCGGGATTAAGGATATCACATTCTAAAGTTTTCAGCTCTGAAAACTTTGAATGGGATATCCTTAATCCGGATCGATTAATTAATCTGGAGATTAATAACATGAGAAGAACAAGCCATACTTAATCTGGAGGAGATTAAGAAAAAGAGTGGATCAAGCGTTAATCCCGATATCCACCGTTCTAAAGTTCCCAGCTCAGCTCTGATAAATAAATAAGTGTGCAGAGCATAAATAGATCTATATATGAATAGTCAGATAGATGGATAGATAAGCATGTATATTCTATATTAAGAAGTGCATAAAGCACTTATTTGATACTGATCTACTGCACTTTTACTTAAGTTCGTGGGATATAATCATATCAGAAGATAGATATACATTGTACGATGTACTATGTACTATGAATACGTTATTTCAAGCGACCCTTGTGGCATGTCCGATTCACTACGGTACCTTATAAATCTAAATCTGGAATAGTGTTAAATTATGACAATTTCTTTATTTCTTTCCTTGCATAAATCCGTAATTAAAAACGCTCAAACTCAGTAATTATACATCATTAAAATGTTTTATATGACTCAAATGAATCCTAAAAATGTCCAATCTTAAAAGTGGAAGGGCATTTGAAATTACGTCTACAGTCCTTTTAAATAATTCTGGATGAGGATTGAGGTTAAAACAAACATTGGATGAGATAGGTTAGGATGAGAAGGAGAACGGATGAGATAGGTTAGGATGAGAAGGAGAACGGATGAGATAGGTTAGGATGAGAAGGAGAACGGATGAGATAGGTTAGGATGAGAAGGAGAACGGATGAGATAGGTTAGGATGAGAAGGAGAACGGATGAGATAGGTTAGGATGAGAAGGAGAACGGATGAGATAGGTTAGGATGAGAAGGAGAACGGATGAATAATGAAAAACTAGATTCTGCCCAAAACAAGAATCTTTATCATTTGTCAAATATGACAAACAAAACATTTTAAGAATACACCTTTTCCTTTCCATTCATTCTCCCCCCTCCTTCCCTTCTCTAATACTCTCACTAATTTATTGGTAAATTCTGCAGTAGGGTTCGGTTTAGGCTGTGGTTTGTAAACCTTTATTTGACTCCGTATATAAGAGATATGAGCTGATGAACCTGGTCTAGATTTAACTATGTGTGTGGAGGAGGGGCGGGGTAAGGGGGGGATTATGAAACTAACAGATTTATACTTTAGTTGATATCTCATTAATCTTGCCTGTGTTTCAAATGGAATTAGCAATTGGTATAATTATTAAGTCTATAAATAATAATATGTATTATATGATTATAATTATAATTTGCTTTAGGCGGGATGTTTGATCACTCCAGTCTGGACAGCCTGCTGGACCCGCCCTACCCTGAGGACGACCTGGCAAGACAGAGTGGTACCGAGGGCGTGTCCCTCACCAACCTCAGCCATGACTCCGGCCTCACAACCTCCGACAGCCAGCTTTACGCTTTCGAGGAGGCCGAGAATAATTCATTTTCGTCCGACGATTTCTGCATTGAGACGATCACTTCGAACGAGAACACGGTTCACGCCATCGTGAACAAGAAGTTTTTATCCAGGTACCAGAACTCATACATAGAGGGAGGAGAGTACCAGGAGCAAGAAAACCATTCTCCGGCACGGAGGAAACTCAATCAGAGAAATCAAAAGCACCGAGATCGGATGCACAGAAGGATTCACAGGAACTCCGAGTACTCTAATAGTTTCAGTATCAAGAGTGAACCAACAGAATCTGCAGCTTATAATTACGAGGTTAGAACCATGAGTGTCAACTATCCTCTCCGACGAACCGCGAGCGAAGAGAGTGTTCAAAGATCATCGAATTTTGAGATTGTTCAAGTGAATAACAATAACCGGAGAAAGCGTCCTGTGATGCACAGGAAGGGTAGAGCTCCGAACCCTCCCAAAGGATCGAAAACCTCTCCATCCATCATTCGTTCCAACTCAGTAAACCAGGTTCGACACTGGGAGCAGAACAACGACTGGTACAGGTCAAAGAGTACGACCAGACTCCACTCTGAGGACTCCGAAGACTCCTGTTCCACGCTCTCTGACGAGGACTCCACACCTCACGTCTCCCGGTCCAACTCCTACGGAAGGTCGGAGGAGAACAGCTTCGCCAACCCTGATGAGTCGTTCAACAAGAACGAGGAGGATACGACCTACGATATCTACCTTCACGAGGAGAGAAATCTCAATATCTCAACCAACCTCCAGGATGCATTCCACAACAACGCCGCCAGGAAAACTAACCGAGAGTTTGATAGTTTCAGTTGTGAGACACCTCCTGGATACGAGGAATCCATTTATAGACAACGTTTGCTCAAGCTCCAGGGCAGACCTAGCTCTCGTCCTAACTCCTACATCTCCTCTTCTCCCTCCAAACTACCGGAGAAGGTTGTGGAGAAGCAGGTTGAACTAAGTGCAAAGGCTAAAGCTGTTTTCGAGGACAGTTTACGCCAGTATGAAGTTACTAAAGAAGCCCCACCTCCCATCCCACCAAAAACTGATCGCCCTCCTCTTCCTCCTAAGCAGCGATCTCGACGATCTACAGAGCATGAAAGCTCAGACGATCAAACCTACGTGAATAGTCTTGAGCTACGACAAAACAGAAACAAGACAAGATTAAACATTACGTCTCCTGTTTCCACTCCGGTTCAATCCAACAGACAATCCTCTTCGGAGGAACGTGAGAGCTCTGAATTTGTTTACGGTTCATATTTCAGTGCTAGGGGTAGTACTAAAGTAAGTGTGCCTGTTATACATGAAAGTGAATTCCCTCCGGCACTTCCACACAAGGAAGTTAAAACTCCGGAACGAAGTGAGTCCAATATGAAAAAGCGTCAAGTGACCTCGACAAAGATTGTGTCAACGACGAAAATGATGAAAAGTGTTGAAACACAAACGGACGAGAGTGATTTTGTTATTTTGTACCCGGACGAGAGAGGGGACGACGATAGCTTTAACCATACTGACTCTGAGTATAGTCCTGAGTCTAACCGCTCTATATCCCCTGATTATATGGGTCCAGTACAGGACTATAGGGAGACATATCTAAGATCTCAGGACCAGTCGGAGTTTTATCTCGACTCAAATCCAATCTTTGAACGACCGGTCTCGGCGCAAAGTGTAAAACTGCGCCAGGCCGGTCGCCGGAAGCTCGAGCCGGTCCAATCCGTGCCGGTACGGAGTCCGGCCGATCCAGTGATTGCCGGAGAAATAAACTGGAGTGTATCCCAACTCCGAACCTTGTTTAACCAAGGACTCCAGGCTCAATCTAGCCTAGACTCCAACCCTGATCAATACAGATCTAACAGACAATCCATGATTGAACCAAGACGGATGAATTATCATAATATTTCCGCCAATTATTCTAATATTTACGGAACGGATAATCAGTCGAATCTCTACTCGACTGATAATCAGCACACGGATTCAGATCAAGAATCCTATGTGTAACTGAAATAATCAAAATTTAAATTGTGATGTAAAGCAAATACTTTATCCTTGAATGGCGCTGGTGCAAAATCCGCGAAATATTTTTACAAAATGCAAATTCAGATATTTTCTAACCCATGACCGTTGAGGGCTGTTTTTAGCCATCTATTTGTCTAAATTATTTTGAGTGATAAAAAGCTAGTCAATCCCAGTGCTCTACTTTATAATCATGTTTTCCACTCCGCAGTGCTTTTTAATTGTAGAATAAGTGCTTTGTTTCTAAAATAAGTATTTCAAATTTTTCATGCATTAAATTTCCGGCATTTATCAATTTACAATTTCTAAAGAATGTGATGCAAAGTACAGTAAATGATATGTTTTTGATGCATTTAAAAAAATATATTTTACAGTTTATTTTTTACTTGATATACTCCTGATTCAGCTATGAAAGTGTCTCAGCTTACACTCCTGTGAAAGAAATGATGAATACTCAAAATTATTTGTTATAAATATATATTATTAAGAATCATTTCTCGTTTTAATAGAGATCATTAGAGTTGGACAATTTTAAAAGTACAAAATAAATTTTGTAAAAAAATTGGAACTTCAAAAGGACTTGCGCAGTTATTGTTTGTAAGAACAATGGATAAATTATTACTAGTTTTATCAAGCTGAGGTTTTAAGGGCGCCATTGTAAATTGGGCATTGTCATCTTTGCATGTAGGGTCACCTAAAGTTTTGTCGGCTTATGCGTTTCAAACGAAATAGTATAAAACGACACTCCGTGAGTTGCAAATTTTTTTTTATATATTTCAACTAAAGAAACCGAATGCATCTCCCCCTGTTTTTGCACGTAAATGTTGAAGATGAATAAAATTCCAGCTAATCTTTACATAAGAATCCATTTTACCTATCAAATTAAGATTTTTTGTGTATGCTGTTGTTGGTGGGTTTTTAATGGGAGATAAATATATATCTGAAAATAATCCAATACAGAAGATGAACTGTGTAGTTAACACACCCTATAAAGGGTGGCCCAGGGGGGATGATAGTTCTCTACCTGTGTGCTTAGTTAGCTGTACTGTACACTTACAACTGTTTACTAATATTGACATACTATAGGTTAGGCCAGAATCTCGATCCTTATAATAAACAAATGTGCAGTACGCTCTCGGTATAGTTTATGGTCATACAATTAGTAAAGGATTAGCGTACATCATCACTCTATACACTATAACCTCGTAATTTATGGCCTGTAAAATTAGTAAAGGATTAGCGTACATCATCACTCTATACACTATAACCTCGTTGGGGTGACCTGAGAGACGGCTTGAAGTCGTAGTTCCATTGTAAAGTTTTGTGAAACAACCTGCGGATTAATGTAAATACGAATAATTGCATATATCGTGCCTTAAAGTATAATCAAAACAATAAATACATAATTGTAATGAATGAAATATATAGTTATGTATTTCTCAATGTACTGTGGGAAGATTTTTTTCGCTTAAAGCCCAGGCTTGAGGCTTTAAAGTATTTTTTCGTTAGTAATTACTTCTCTCGTGCCATCTTGTGGTGAGTTGAACGCAACTGTACCAGGGTATCGTATAAATACAGGGTGTTCCGCAAAAAATATAGAAGATTGAAATAAACAAATTCCGTAATGTCCTCTCAAGTCTCATAATTTTTGGGGAACCCTCCAGTTGTACCTCCTGGTGGCCAAACCTGTAAGGATGATAAAATTAAGTTTAATACAGGGTGGCCCACATTTATATTCTTACAAAAGTCTCAAATTTGGCCCTAAACATTTTACTCTTTATTCTGGAGAGAGCCTTTTTTTATATGTTTCAAAAAGCCTGATCCTCCTTTTTTTGGGACACCCTGTATATTCTCAGATTTCACTGCATGGTAAGATGTTAAGTGTAAGTATTGAACCGTATACTAAATTACGATTTCTCTTCAGATAATGTTATTTTCTAAACTTGACAAGTTAATAAACTAATTTCACTTAATTGTCATCTGAAATCTACTAACGGATATTAAAATTGGTTGTTTGAGCGTCAGACTTTAAAATATATATTTTGTTTTAATGTTGGTAGACACACAGCATTTCTCATATTTATGTGTATTGTGTATTATATGTATGTGTGTATGTATATACTGAACTGCAATGTCAAGTTTAAAGGTTTACCCGGGTCAGATCATGACTTAGTTTCAGGCCATTCAAGCCATTCAAAGTTTTCAAGCAAGAGCAGGAACAATGTAATATTCAAATGCCTTTTAGAAATATATATTTCTTTTAGAATTCATATCCGCGAAGAAGTGAATAAGAATATTATTTTCATGAAGCGTAAAATTGCTAATTATTAGTCTGTTAATTCGAGGACTGAAGGCGTAATCTGAAGTCTGACCGCGTCAACCTTGTTGCACCGACTAGTCCTGTCCATAGAGCTAAGTACAGTAAAAACTGGGACCGGAAAGGTTGACTCGGCTCGTAAATTCAAATGTACTACGGATGCCCGTGATTATTGTTAATTTTCTGAAGAAATGTGGAACTTTCTTTTGTGGAGAAACAACAAATTGAAATTATCAGTTTTTAAAAACAAAAACATAGATATCTAAATCATACATGATCAAACATAGCTTTTAAGGGTACTGTTGTAAATCAAATATGACCCTCTATCAATCTCAGGTTTCTTGAAATAAAGTTCGAGTCCGAATTTAATGAATTTAAGCCCCGTCTCAAATCTGCCAAAAACAGGTTTCAATTGAGCGCCGGCTTAAATCTTGAAATATTGAATACAATTTTAGGTGGAACCAAACATATTTGAGCCGCGGCTCAAATTCTTTAAATTCGGCCTCTTTATAAGTAAGTTAGTAATTATTTATTTATGAAATATTGCAAAAACTTATAAAATTAAGTGTTTCAGGAGAAAATATTTAAAAACTTCCAAAAATAGAAGTTGTGGGAATATTTCCCCCCCAATTCCAAGTGTTTAACATTACATTAAACATTACTTGTGGTGGATTGAACTTTTAGAAATAAAAATCAAAGTTTTATTTGTAATGTTGAAAAAATAAAATAGGCTTTAAGATTCTATAGAAGATTGCTTTAGAGAGAATACGCAAAGGTATGATTAGTGAGTTAGACAGACAAAAACCTCATGATCAGGGATGGGGAATACGCGGTTTTCAACTATAGTGATTTTTCAAATCATGATTGGAACTTAAATTCCTGTCATGAGTTTAAGAAAAGGTTTATAACTTGGAACTTTATATACCGACACCCAGCTATATTATGTTTTTTTTAATGGTCCATGAGTATGTAAAACTCTCATTAAAGCAGTCTTTTCATTGATACTCCCTTTCTACACATCCTTGATTAACCTAAAGAATATTTATGAGATGAGAGAACCAAGCATGCTTTCTTTTAAACCTGCTCCAGGCACATTCCAGGTGAGGCTTAGAGTATATATATACATAGACTACATTACAGGGTAGAGGTAGGGCTTAGAGTATATATACATAGAGTACAAGTATAGTTGGGGGTTAGAGTATATATATATATATACATATGCAACATTCTAGGATATATCATAAAGGTGGGGCTTAGAGTATATATATATATATATACATTTCCTATATTACTGGGTATAGGTGGTGCTTAGAGTATATATAAACATAGAGTACATTCCAGAGTATAGATGCAGTTTAGAGTATATTTATACATAGAGTAGAGTTTCCCAATAAAAAATTGAGGCAAATCGGTCAAGGGGATCGCGAGTTATGATCGGACATAAACAAACAAACACCCAATCAGAATAACTACTTTTTATATTTAGATTTATCCATATGCTGACGACTTAAATGCACAATCATCTATACTCCTAGGTCCTAGGCCGCAAGATATGCCTTTCAGGCGATATGCTCCTATCTTGTATAATTATTATCTATTTTATCTAACCATCTTTTCTAATTCTTTAACTGCGGTAACAAAAAAGGACTCTCTGTTTTAACTTTTATATGTGGCTCTATCTGTGAGCATCTTTTCTTTGTACACAATAAAACAATAAGAAAAAAATTCGCGCATTTTCAAATATTTTTTCGCGCATTTTTTAAATTTCACAAAAATCGATAGCTTTAGGAAACACAGTTTTTTTTACTCATATTTTTATTGATGAACACAACCATTGCATGCTGATTATTTATTTTGAATTTACGCTTGATCTGTTTGTCTGTTAAAAACTGAAATTTCTTTTCCAGGAATTTTGTGGTGATAAGATTAACATTTTCTTAACTGAAAAAAACCTTAATTCAAAATTTCCTAATATATTTATAGAAAAAAAAGTTTCTGAAACGAAATTTTAGTCCCTTTTGAGCCTGAATAGGAGTTCAAAATGTACATTGTTAACAAATTATGAGCAGATCAAACTACTTAAATTATATTCATCATTTATATTTGTCTAAAGCAAAATATAAATGATTATTAACAAAATTAAACAATATAAAAGTTTACAATTTAATGCTAATACTCTTTTCTCTGGATAATGCATTTTATAATTGACAGGGTTTGCCAAAAAAACAGGTGCAATACAAGACTTTTAGCATGAGTATAGTTTAGCTATTCAGAGGTGGTTTTTAGAAATGGAGTTTCTTGGTCCCAGTCTAGTGTTTTTCGTTTTCTAAAAATGTGGTATGATGACAGCACTGCAGGTCTTGATAGATTTTCGCACATTGCTTTGAAACTAACACTGGGTTTGCAGAACTTATGCAGTTTCTTTAGATTTGCTTTATTTGATGGTGATATATATCCTCTTGAGTCGATTTCAAAAGGGTGAACAAACACATCCCTAGTTGTTATATCTGTGATAAAATGTTCATACTTGTTCATCTTTTGAGTGTTATCGTTTTGGACATTTGTTTCCAATGGTACAATAAGCTCAAAAATATCCATCGTTTCCTCCATTCTATCGATAATTACTATAGATCTGGTTTCTGTGCGGTCACAAGGATGAACAGTGAGCAGAAATCAAATAGAAGGAATTAAATATTGTTTGAGATCCAGACTTTATATTCATCCCGAATAAGAAGTGCATTTATATTTATTAGTTTTGTTTCAAATTCACTCTTGATGTAATCGAACGCATCACTAAGTTTACCAGTAGGACATAGATTTGGATATATTTGAAATTTCAGTTTCACCAACAGTAAAGTTTATTCTCCTAGGTAGACCTGATCTGATGGAAAATGATCTACATACATTTTGCTGGTTTTAATCTCATTCCCATACTTTCAATTTGAATTTTTTGATGTGTTTCTCTGATCTGTTGTTATCAGGCAAAATTTGTTAAAATAGGTCAGAGTAGTAATTTTCTCTTCATTCAGATTAAATCCACAATCATTCTTACTCTGTAGAAATTCAATGGTTGGATTGAAAACCATCAGAAATATGATGGGACTAAACGGGTCACCTTGGAGTACTCCTCTTTTAAAGGGAAACCCATCAGTAGAGAATCTGTCCGTAAATACACG